TTTAGGTTTTATAAGAGTGTTGAGTTTTTTTCTAGCAGGTTTATTTACATGAAAGCTTGCACTTGCAGTTTTCTTTTTAAAATAGTATCTTGCTTATGTGTATTAGAGTAGTTTGAAATACCCTTTCCTGTAGGGCAAAAATTGGTCTACTTTTAAGTCACAGCCTCTCTGGCATCTCTGGATAGCTAAACAAAGTTTCCTTCCTCTGAGTAGTCTGAATTCAGTTGCCTCCTGCACTCTTAGGGTAGTTCAGGTCCTGGCAGCAACTTCCCTAACCTTGTAAAGTGTCACCCTAGATATGTACAGCAGTGTATTTGGCCAAAAGCAAAGATAATCCCATGCAGATTACTAGGAATCATTTTCTACACTCTTCTCTCTGATACTCAAGCCTATAAATTCATTCCAGCACTATGGACTTGAACTCTAATTTCTCTCTCTCTCTCCTTAGCGCAGTTGTCTTTTGACTTTCCCCTTTCTGTACTACAACCAAAAAATTGTGTTCAGACAAAAAGCCAGAATGATCATGGGATTAATCTTTTCTGAGTCCTATTTTCTCACATGACATTCCTACACTGCCAGCTTTTCTGCTTTAAAAAATTGTTAATTTATCTATTAAAGAGGAAAACTAATCCAGTATCAATTGTCCTCTAAGTACAGAAGCTAAATTCCAAAATGTAGAAGTTTTAACATATTATAATAGCCAAATTAATCAGGTCTGCAGGTCAAATGAGTCATGGGTCTCTGGTTTACCATCATTTAAATAAAGCATTCTCTGTTTGCAACTCAGAAAAATGGCCATTATCACAATTTCAAAAATTACCCACAACCCCCAGCAATTTGACACAGAGATGCTGTAGCTCTTTGGCAAGGAACACTTGAAAGTCCAAGTAGTTGGTGTTCAGTTGGAGGACTCACTGGATAGAAAGGCTCTTACTACTATAATGAAGATAGATAACTTAGATTTCTAAGAACAAACATGATTATAGAACTAGAACCCTAGCAGAGGACAAAACTAGATCCGAAGTGTTGGACTCTTATCCAAGAATGGTTAGCTAGAAATTTGGATTTGGAACCAATTTTTACTACAGAACTGCAAAACGGATGGGGGAAATTCTGATTCAAGGAATAACAACAGCAGTTGACTGTATTCTTTTATATGTTGAATTATACTGTTAATGAAGTCAATGAGATAAGGAGCTCCAGACTCCACGTTGGTCAAATTGCAATACCCCATTCTGATTAGAAATGCTTTTGACTGAGATTGCATCAGAATGAAGTCATTATGCCAAAATGTCAGAGGTTCCAGTGGGCCAGACAGGAAATGTAGGCTGAGGGTAACCCTTTTCCTGTAAGCCAACACTGCCTTTCACAAGAGTCTGTAGAGCATGTCCTGCACACAACTCGGGTCATTTAGAAAATCAAGCTGATGGATTATTTTAAAGGTGCAATTAGTTAAGTAGCATTAGGAACTTCTTGATAACAAGATGACTGCACAAATGTAGCCTGTAAATATGATACATGTGACTATGTGTCACAGAAACAAAATTGAAATAAAGTAGGCAGTAGTAAAATGAATGTAGCAGAGAGAAATTTGTGAGGGTAATTGATCTGTTAGTCATTAAGCAAGACTTCTATTGACATTTAGAAAAATCCATTTCAGGTAAGTATAGGCAATGACTTTCCCTCTCCCTCCCCTCCCCAATTACAAAATGTCCATCTAAAGAGAGCCAAAATAGCTGAGCAAAATATTGAGAATAATTCTGGGAATTACCAGTGTGCTGTTAACATAACCTGTACTCAGAAATACCAAGCATACAACAAATGTCAGTTACCTGAACTGGCCTTAGTAAGTTCTCAATAACTATCCTGATATAGTTTCTGGCATTTTATGATGGAATTTTCTTATTTTAAAGTACCATTATTCATAGAATGAACACAAGAGTACCTGGTAAAAATCTTGAATTGTTCAGTCCCAGGCTATACATGACATGTGGCAGGAATAATATCCTAGGTAAGGGATAATAAACTCAAAACTCCAATTTTTCCTTTCATTAGGGAACTTGAGGCTTAGCACCAGGCTGGTTACCACTTTCTCTGTAAGATATATAAGTATTTTATTTATTTATTTGCTTATTTATTTATTTCGGTGGTACTGGGGTTTAAAGTAAGGAGATCCTTAGTATCAACCCCAACTGTGAATGAGATTCGTCCATGCCTTTTCTCAAACATTAGTGCCAGCAATGTTCAGATGCCCAGAAAAGCGTTCCCTACCACGCTACCTTATATACTGCCCCTGCCTCAATCTCCCCTCTCAGTCACCCCTATCACATTACCCTTTTCTAAAAAGCATTGATCACTATTTAAAATTAACTGACTTATTTCCTTATTTATTTGCTTGCCTGCATTAGACTATTAGCCCCCAAAATGCAGAGGCCTTTTCTGTCTTCTCCACCACTATAACCCCAAAAGCTTCTGTCAAATACTAGATGGCAATAAAGGAACTGTCAAATTAATTATATCTAATTTAAGCTGCTCCAGCTTCAGATCCAGTAAATACTCCATTCCCTCCTTAAATTCTTAAGCTTTGTTATCACAAGCTAATATGGCAACCAAATGCAGTTTCTGATATAGAGTGTAGTGTTAGGCTTCTTTTAAATATCATAGAAGTATAAAGTGTTCTGTCTGGAAATGTTCATTCAGATATAAGGTGTCCTACAGGTAGGATGGATGAAAAGACAATTTTCATCTGGAGGATGGTAATGCACAGTTTAGTAGAAAATAAGAGAGTGAAGAAGCAAGCCCAGAGACAAATTAGAGTATAATCAAAATGTGGGGATCAAACAAAGGGAAGAGTGGGAGTTTCTAGAGGCAGAGCTCAGATGCAAATACAGTTTATTCTACCAAAGCTTATACAATGTCATGTCATTTGCACATGAAGTTGAAAACTGAAAAAGGACTATTCCAGAAAGAAGTCATTGTATGACCAAGGGCATGAAGTTAAGTTTCCCTGAATCTAGGGGAAAGAACAAAGGTAAATGAGATGGGAAAGTTGGCTGGTAACCTGTAATAACAGCCTTTGTTTACAGAGTTGATATTTAGTTTTTAGTCAGTTTGGAAATGCTTGCCATCTTTTTCTGATACTTTCAAAAAATCTGCCAAAGTGTTTACAATGTAAAAGAAAAGTGGAAATGTAGAAACCTGTCCATAACCAGACATTGCACATCAGTCTTTGGAATGTATATCCTAGAACTGTGGACATGGGAGACATTTCCAGAGCCAAACATCCTCAGAATTTGGTGGATGCGCTCTATTTCTGCTCAGTGGAAACAATACTTTCAAAGCCTATTTACAAATAAGAGAAAGGGATTCTTCCCATATTAACAATAGACAAAAAAAATGAAGCTAAAACTAATGTAAACACGTTAAGACTTTTACTTAGTTTGGCTTTTCCAATAATCAAAATTCTACTAATTCTACTAATATCATGTACTGCTCCAGGTAGGACTCTTGGACTCCATTCCAAGATCTGGTCAATCCAAGGATGGAATGATGCTTTTTAAAAACATTTTCAAGCCTAGCATGTGGTACATGGGCATAATCCCAGCTCTCAGGTGTCTTAGGCAGAAGGATTGTGAGTTTAAAGCCAGCCTGGGCAACATAGGGAGACCCTGTCTCAAAAAATAAAACAAAACATTTAAAAAAAATGTTTGAGGAGATTTAGGTGTCAAAATTTTAGTGGAACTAGATAACTTGCTTAATCCTTTCCAATGTCAGGATCCTTTTTAAATTTGCATATTAGTAGAGTCTATTCAAATCACAGAAGAGTTAAAAACACCCTCTATGCCAGGTACTGCAAAATAAATGAATAAGTATGCTGTAACCTAGTATTAAAATGTAGTGCACAAACTCTAGCATGTTATCTCTGCTTGCTCACATATATCTTAGGTGCATAATTCAGTCGCTTGGCTTACCCAGCATTTTCAGGATGATGAGTCAGTGTGATCACTCAGTAGAAGTAATTCTGTGTTTGTTTATTTTTGTCCTTCACCTCAGTGGTACCTCCGAGATACACAGTAGAACTGGCCTGTGGTTTTGGAGCCACTGTCTTCCTGGTTGTGATCCTCATTGTTGTTTACCATGTTTACTGGTTAGAGATAGTCCTCTTTTACCGGGCTCATTTTGGAACAGATGAAACCATTCTAGGTAAGTAATGGAAGCTTGGTGTACATCTCTTCTATTGTCATCTTTACAAAACATGTTCACATGATAAAACCTGAGTTCACTGAAAGATTTAGTCAGATTACCTTTTACTTCAGCTCTTACTATTAAAAAATCTCTCCATTGTATATTTTCTCTCTTCTTAGATCAATATGTGATTTAGTCTAGATTAGTACTATTCAAATAGAAAATATAATGTGTCCCATACATGAAATTTAAAGTTTTTTTAGTGGACACACTAAAAAATTGTAAAAAGAAACAACTGAAAAATAATGTTTGACTTAACAATAAAATGTAATCAATAGTAAAAAGTTAATAAAATAGTTACCATTTTTGGCACCAAAAATATCAAAATTCGATACACCTTGCATTTTATTCTTACAGAACATCTCAGTTCAGACCAGATGCATTTCAAGTAGTTGGCAGGTGCTGTGACTTCTGGCTGTTGTGCTGGACGGTGTGGACTCGCACGTTAAACTCAAGGGGTGGTCCATCCCCAGTAGCATCTACATCACCTAAGAGCTTCTTAGAAGGGGACTGTTGGATCTCATTTCTCCAGAGTCAGATCTGCATTTTAACAATATTCATGTGCATGTTGTAGTATAAGTAGCACTGATCTAGTACGGAAATATTCCTAGCAGTAAGAACATGACATCTAAACCACCAATTGTTAGGCCCACCCCATAAGAATTCTAATTCTGTGAGCTTTTGGAAGATGCACATATTTATTTTTAATGACTTGTTACTTTTAACATTAGGCAACTTCTGAAAGACTAGTCCATTGGATCTAAGTATATTTTGACAGTAATTCTTTTCAGGTAGAATTTAGACAGTTTTAGACAGTTATAACTCTCATATATTAGTGGGTGATGTACTAGGACAGCGAGTAGAAATTTTCTGTGTGGCATTCACTGCCAGCACCTACAATTTAAGTCCTTATCCTGTTAGCTCACAGTTAAATAGGCCAGCCCTAGTCTTTCTCCACTATAGACTCAACCCAATGAGATGAATGTAGAAGATAGATAAAATTTGAATTCTGTTAGCCATTTTGCCTGGAGATAGTCATAAGTGGAAAATCACATTTAACTTATACATATGAAAATGTCTCCTATGTAGAAGTTAGACTTAATGGGAATAAAGGTAACACTTTTGAGAAACTGTCCTAATTTATATTAATGTGTTCCTTTTACTAGATGGGAAGGAGTATGATATTTATGTATCTTACGCAAGGAATGCTGAAGAAGAGGAATTTGTGTTACTGACACTCCGTGGAGTTTTGGAGAATGAGTTTGGATATAAGCTGTGTATCTTTGACCGGGACAGTCTGCCTGGAGGAAGTAGGTATTTCAGATGAGTACAAATAATGCTACTCTGAAAGGCAAAGGTTGGATCCTTAGTATTGGATCATACATAAGACTGGTAGCTCTTTATTGGCATTTTTGGATACTTAAAGCCCAGTTCTTTACAGTAATAGAAACTTCTTTAGAAGTAAAATCATATTGTAAAATGTTTACCATTCAACTCAGTTAGGCCATTAAAATATTTCCCATTCTAATTTTAAGCACTCAGTGTCAGAAGAGTGTGGGTGCACAGTAGACGAGTGCCCTGTTAACATGACACAGCTTTCAAATTCATGTTTGTATTTTTAGAATATTTAGATTGATCTGCATTGATTTTCCTAGAATTTTTTATTGTTTTTTTAACAAAGACTAAATATTTTTAAAGTTTTTATACAGAGTGAGATTTACTCAGTTTTAATAAACTGACTTACAGAAGATGTCATGTAGAATTTTTCCTGCTATTATTCACTGATAATATTAGAACATTTGCCTTTGGCATTTTCTTATTTCCTTTATCTTGCTTTTATTTTCTAGCAAACTAGTGCTACTCAAATTTCTCTTTTCATTGGATCTGCTTTTTGTTTTCTATCCGTGTATACATTTGGATGTATTTTAAAGTTTTACAAGACTAGTGTATTCTAATACGATTTAAAAAAGAAAAGCTCCAAACATTTTAAAACAAAAGTATGTCTGTTCTCTTCAAGTCCAAATGGTAACACACAAAGAACAGTCCATTTGAGTCTTTTTAAATAAACACGTAAATAATATTTATAAACTTACTGTGAAACTTCCTACCTTTGAAATCCATGTATAGACTCTAATCTTAAGCTTGAAAAACTATTTTTCCTTGAAAATCTTCTTAACCTTAATCTTTTGTTTAATGTTTTAATAGTTATATGAATAATTGGGAAATAGAATAGACTTAAAATTTTATTTTCATTTTGAATTAGTGGATCAGTAATGTTATCTGTTCAACCATCATCCCAAAACTCATCATGCCAGTATTCTACAGAAGAGATCTCATTCAGAATAACTTTTCCAGGAAATGATCACTTAATTATATTGGTAACAGATAAATTCCACTCATTTTAATACTTAATCTCCCACGCACTTATTCATCTATTTATTCATTCACATATTCTTCCAACAAATATGTATCTACCATGGGAAAAGTCATAGAAAGATATACGGTATATATAAGCCCCTTCAGGAGGGGTTAATAGTTCTTTTGAGATATTCTAGTTCTACATAATTTCTGTTGCATCTACTTTTGATTTGTGGCCCTTGCTTCCTTTGGGATTCTCCCTGCTGCTCTTTCCTTTGCCAGTCTACTTTCCCTTTGGATCTCTTCCATGGTCAGCTTCAGTGCAGTTGCTTAGAGTAAACAGATACTCATTCCTGGATTCTCCTCCAGGCTGCACATGTAGATTTTAATTGAAAGTCTTTCCCTATTACTTCTGCACCTGTGGAGACTAGGAATCAAAATGATTGCTTAGGGGAGTATGGCAAGCCATGATATAGGTAGTGCATTACCTGGAGTTGGCAGCTATGTCTACCCCAGGTAAAGGATTATACAGTCCGTGTGTAAGGAGATAGATTAGCACCAAGAATTTAGAGGCAGGAATCAGAGCCCTTAAGAGCAGAATAAAATTATATTGCATTTCCATTTCCCCTGATTTTTCATCTTTTTTTTAACTTAGAGAGAAAGCACTTGCTGATAAGTACAAGCAGACACATCAGCTACCAGCTGGTGTAACGCATGGCTCCACAGTGATAACAGGAGTTAAAGGAGAAAGATCCAGATACTAATTTGGTCTTTAGAACAGAGAGCAGTAGAAAGCTGAGTTGAGAAGGTATTGCTAGCCAAAATGACATTGGTTGACATTCTTATTCCAACAGCATAGTAATACCACTCGGAGTCAGGGAGGTGTCCAACAACAGAGAGGGACTTTCAAAAAGTGCAGATTCCAATTCATGTTGTCGTGTTAGCAAAAATAAAATTCTATTATTTTATTCTACAATGTCTGTATATTTTTTATTGCTTTTCAATGCTAGAGTTATACCTAGGTATCTTTGGGGGAAAGGAGCTCTTGAGCTGATCTGGCTAGGCTGCAACTCTGTTTGAAGATTCTGTTTTGAGTGCATCACATCTATTCCTTGTGGATCAAAAAATGCTTTCAAAGACTGAGGTCTCAGAAGTATACCACATTTGGCTTCATGCTTGCTTGAAATTCTTTGTGGAGTGGAATATATGAACATAGTTTCCATTTTCCCTAAGGAAAGTGGATTTAGGGAAGAATATGGTTGGGCTCAAGGGTTAAGTTGTTGGTAAGTTGTTGCTGGTAAACATGGTCACAGCCTTGGTGCCCAGGCTGCCACCCCACACTTCCTGCATTTGCTCCTTGAGCCCTTGGTTGGGATGGTTCTTGGCCAACACTAATCCCCATGGTGTTTTCTCTCCCAGTTGTCACAGATGAGACCTTGGGCTTCATTCAGAAAAGCAGACGCCTCCTGGTCGTCCTAAGCCCCAACTACGTGCTCCAGGGAACCCAAGCCCTCCTGGAGCTCAAGGCTGGCCTAGAAAATATGGCCTCTCGGGGCAGCATCAACGTCATTTTAGTGCAGTACAAAGCTGTGAAGGACACGAAGGTGAAAGAGCTGAAGAGTGCTAAGACGGTTCTCACAGTCATTAAATGGAAGGGGGAGAAGTCCAAGTATCCACAGGGCAGGTTCTGGAAACAGCTTCAGGTGGCCATGCCAGTGAAGAAAAGTCCCAGGTGGTCTAGCAGTGACAAGCAGGGTCTCTCCTATTCATCCTTGAAAAATGTATGAAAGGGGAAACAAAAGAAGTATAAGGAGCAAAGGGAAAGCCATGGAAGGAAGAGTCCCTCTTCTTCACTCCCAGTTTATGCTTTGGTAGGCAGAAAAAAAAATCTAAGTCTCATAGGTACACTTTCAGGGTTGGCTGTATGGTTGGCTATTCCACTTTTCAGGCAATGCTAAGGTTTAAAGGTATATTGTCAACAGTCTGCCAACAGACAGATGTCACTATGGTCTTTGCAGGCAAAGATGTGATTGGTGTCATTTTCCTCTTCTCCACCCTCCATTCCTACGCCTCTATCTCTTTGTAAAATCTTAACATTATGGTGCAGCTTTGTCCATGGATTTAGCACTCCTTTTAAGATATGCTACCTGTTGACCAGGGGTATTGGTGATTTCTTATTAGAGTATTCTTTTATTTTCACTCAGACATTAAAAAAAATAATCAGGGGCTAGAGGCATGGCTCAAGTGGTAGAACGCCTGTCTAGCATGAAACCCTAAGTTCAAACTTCATTACTTCCAAAAGATAAAAAAAGAGAGAGAGAGAAGAGAGAATCAGGGCCTGAATTAATTTTAAAAGGATTTCAAACTCTTTTACTTATTTGGTTGCTCAATACTTTACCTTAGCAAGACTGACATCCACTTAGGGTGATACAAAGCAATATAACTAAAAATTCTTCTTATGATTGAATTAAAAGACATGCTGCATTTCCTACTACCATAACACATTTGCTCTCATCTCAGGTAATTGATATCATTCTTGTAAACTTGAAAAATATACTGTCATTTTTGTTTTATTGCAGTAAACTCCTGATTATCTACATACAGATCCATATGTATCATTCCATCTCCCTATCCACTGTTATTAATCATTCACAGTTTACAGGTAAAACAAAACAGATTTCACAGGTGGCTCCATACTTGGGTCAGTCTGAAAGGAAACTTCTAATGGTGCTAATGGAGAGTGAGAAAACAGCAAAATGCTTTTAGGGGTATTTTTGAGTTGTGAAAAGAGCAGCGCAGGACAGGTGGCAATTTGTCTTTTAATCACAAGCTTGCTGATGTGAAAATTAGGAAAGGGATTTCTCCTCACTTGTGTCAATGGCCTTTAGAATTGTTTTAGCATTAACATTCTAAAAGCATGACTTGTACTTCCCACAAGATACTCACTGGTATGGATAATATCATGTTCCAAATAAGTCCATCTGAAAGGTTACTGTCAATTAAACTTGTTTTTGAGTAAAATTTTTACTGTTCTTCAAAGTGAAAACTAAGTGCATACAGTGGTGAATATCTATGTTACATGTAGAATACACACACACACACACACACACACACATATATCCTGTGTATATATATATATGCATATATATATGCACATGAATTAGCTATGTGTGTATATATATATCACTCCATACACACATATTTCAATGTCTAATGGTACATTTTACAAACAAAACTTTTGTCCAATTTTTAAATTATGTTTATACTGTAATGCTTTCGTGTTGGTGTTCTCATTCCATTAATATTATTTGTGAATTCACTGCTCATAGAGTGGTGATTGTCATTAGTTCTTGCTTCCCTAAATTAGTATAAATAACTTACTACTGCTATAGTTGATCTGGGTTGCAGTGAAATCTGTTGTGCACAGAGCTTCCATAGTCACTGCTAAACACCAGCCACTCATCTGGTGTTAATTGGTTTTCTGTAATATTCCCAGTAGACACATTTTGAAACTAAGCTATGTTAATCTCATTGCTCAGGTATGTAGAATGTTGAGTAATAAAGGAAAATAAATTTACCTATAAATGAGTCTGAGTATCCTATGAAATATAATAATTCATAATTTAAGGAAGCCCTTATCCCAGTAGTATGAATGTTAATAAGCAATTCCAAAATTATCTCCTACAGTTTTGTCCTTCATCAGTATTACAGTCCATAACAAATCATTTTTCTCTTTAAGAGTTATTTTAAATTGAAAAAATGTTCCCCTCTGAATTCTTGACTATAAAATTATGACATGGAGTCACTCTTAGAACTATTTTTTTAGCTTTTTTAATGCTTTCTTATTACAGATCACTCTTACTGTCACTACTAACCTTTTACTCACAAGACCAGAGAAGAATTGAGTCCAGATAAGCTTTGAATATCAATTCTTGCATGAGCTTTAGGTAACAAGGGATAGTCTCATCACCAAGGGGCTATTCCTTGCTATGCTGCATTCTTTTTGCACTTTGGGATTCTATAAGGCTGTGGACCCAAATGCATTTGGGTGTTACCAGAAAATCCTGGATTTTTTTTCCTATTTATATTCTTCTTATCTTAGGGTACTGAATTTTTCCAAATGCTATAATATAAACATATTAAATATAAGTGATATAGCTCATCCTAAGAGAACTTAGTTTCAAGATTTCTTTTGTATGTTCCAGAAGATTCCCAAAACAGAACAGTTGGAGCTGGTGGGGACACATGCTTGCAATTAAAAGGGCAAGAACAAATTATGTTTCTTATTAAAAATAAAACTGAATGGTTTTACATCCATGATATAAGGACATTCTGCACCCAGGTTAACAAAACAATGTTGTAAAGAGTGTCTAATTACACAATCACATATAATTTATTTAATTCTCTCTTGTATCATAACTTAGATGATTCCCTTGGATTCTAATGAAAGCACTTCATTGTACTGGGAAACAAAAACATCACTCCACTTGTTAATTATCCATTCCTTTACATATGTTTTAATATTTTAAGGTTATCTTTTTAATTTTATTCATGAACTTTTGTATTTTCCATTCTTCATTTGATTTGTAAATTTACATATTTTTTAAATAAACCATTTATTTTCAGCTTTGAATTTTATTTTGTGCATGTGTTTTATGTCTTCGTTTTCATGTTTGGGCATAAGAAATAAGAATAAAAAGAATTAGTGTCTGTACTTGTTAAAAAGATGAAATAAGTTATAATAGAAACTTTCCTTTCTGAGAAAAGTCTAAGAAAAATGGGGACTTCATATCAAGAACACTTCCTTTATATGTGAGTAAAGAATTACTTAAGTGAAATAGATTGGCGGGTATACTAGGGTGTGTGTGTGTGGTGTGTGTGTGTGTGTGTGTGTGTGTATGTGTGTATGTCTGTGTTTAGAAAGCAAGACAGACAGACAGATGCAGAGATGGAAAGGGAGACAGTCCTTAGTGACATGGATGCCTTCCTGCTTGAAAATATTCCTACTTGTTTATTTATTCAAAAAATGCTTGTTGAGTCCTCATATATAGTTTGAATTAGTAAAAATTTCCCTGCTAAAGATTTTTTTTCTTTTGTAAACTGGCTCCTGAAGTATAGAGTTAAGATCAATGAATAAACATTATATGAAAATAAATTTCTACTCAATTAAGAAATAACTGTATGACGGAGTTAAATAATGGAATTCACTACCTTTGAACATAGTAGGGTCCCCCATTATAGGAGATATACAAGCGGAGACTTGATGGATTATGTTAGATTTTTATGTGTTGGTTTTATACATTGGATAAGTGGTGATGAGTATTAAGTTGCTTTCAGCCTTAAAACTATTAAATGACCTCCTAGAATATAGTGGTGACTATTTAGAAGATTTAATATCGTTTTTTAGTATCATCTATCTTGCTATTACTGACCTTGTAAAAACTTTCAAGAAATTCTCTCTAATCAGTTCATGCTAGGTAGTCTTTCACACAAGTGTGCAGTATGCTATGAAAGACACAGCCAGCATTTACTCTTTCTTATTTCTCTGTTTCTACCCAAGTGAAACAAAGTAATTTAGCAATTGGCTAGGAGATTGAGATTTCAGTTGTATTTTTAAATCAGCATCTATTTTTAACTAAAATATAGAAATTTTAAGGGTTATTTTACTCATAAGTGCATGTAAGGTGATACTCTAATAATAGCAAAAACCTGAAACATTCAGTAAGTTAGTCCATATATTATTTTAATATCGTGTTCACAAGGCATTGAGTAATAATTTAATCAAATGTCTACAGCATGCTAGACATTTGAATATAGCTATCTCTAATTTGCTTTACAACCCTATAAGTTTGCTCTTATCAAATGAATTTTATAGAAGGATGAACTCACACTCAAAGATATTAAGAAAAAATAGAGAAAATGGAAAAACCAAGATTTGAATTCAGATCCATCTTCCAGATTAGGTGCTTGTTATTACATGTTAACTTGTAAGAGAAAGAGAGAATGACTTCAAAATCTAGTTCACAAAAGAGAACTAATTCCATTACTATATAGTCACACCTCATTTTTTTGAGCCAAATGGAATAAGCAAACCAATTTATTACTCCCTCTCCATTTTTTTCTTTTACATTACAAAGTAACTCCTTTCTTCAAATACCATATTTTTACAGTATGGAATATATAAAGGAGGCCACTTCCTATTAAGTATGAAGTGAAGAACCCAGGTATGGGCCAAAGCCCATTAGAGAAGCATCTTCTCTTTCTTTCTTCCATGTCTGATTCAGTCACTTATACCTGTATTTAACATTATCTTCTTTCAACTGTTATTCCCTCATTTTCTAGAAGTGGTAAAAATCTGGTAAAATCCATTATATCTCAAGACAGTATTTTAAGATACTAGTATTACATTTTCAACCATTGTATCTCCATTGGTTAGAGCATACATTTTTCTGAAGTGACTGTTTTGAGGTTAAACACCATATACACAAACACAGTTGTGGAATTTACAAAATTTCATTTTCCAATTTTCATTCAAATTCATTTTAAATTCACTGATTGGAAAGAACTAATCTAGAAAGGATCACAGCTCCTTCATTCCCCATCAAGTTCATAATGATCAAATTCATGTCAAACTTTCAGTTTGTCTTCAGAGGCTGAAATGACTCTCTAATGTGCAGGTAGAAACTCAGTCTCTCTCAAGCATGTGTTTTAATAATTTACACATTGAGAATTTCTTTCTTCCAGGTAATCGCATTGTCTAAGTTCCCAAATCTCACAGAGAGTTAAACACTGTATTTATTTGAAGCACTTTCCTTTTGGAAATGTCTAAATCTACCTTAGTAACTATTAGAATTGAATGCTTTGCCAGAAGTCTTAAGTAGTTGATTAATCTTTACATATTGTCATTATTTTCATCTCTCGAATTGATTTTGTGGCCAATTTTTTCATATACACAAACATGCACACACACACATGAAAGAGAAAGAACAAAAGGAAGGAAGGAAAGGAAAGAAGGAGGGAAGGAAGGAAGGAAGGAAAGAAAAAAGGAAGAAAGGTAGGGAGGAACAAAGGGAGGAAGGAAGGAAGGAAACTTTAGTTGACAACAAGGCAAGTACTGTATCCAAAAATGTTAATTATCAAGGGATATAACTGAGGATTTTAGGAAGTGTTACTTACCATTGCTCTTTGCTGATCAGATCATGCCAAGAGTATTAGGGTTATTGCTGTTCAAAATAATATTCTTAGAAGACACATACACAAATATTATTGACAGGAAAAATTATAAAAGTGGGTAAGAGACTTGAAATTATGTCCTATGTGAAATGAAATAAGAGAAAAAGCCCAGTCCTTTGGTCTATATATAAGGATAAAATATAATAACATCAGTTATCAAATGCTTCAGACATTTGAAAATTTCATATCAAAGGCCACCAGATAAAACTTGCAGAGTTGAAGATCTCAAAACAAACAGAGCACAAATTAACTGCTTTTAGAGATAGATGATTTACATTTTTGTTATGGTAAGGGAAGACTTTATCCAAAAAGAGTACTGCTGCAGTGGGGTGGGGACGGAGCTGCAGTAGGGATCAGATATTGAGCTCAAATCCTATCGATGAAGGTAGATCTTTTGCAAATGATATCACTCATACTCATGAAGTATCTCAATTTCTTTACAAGATTGACTGTTTAACGCGTAGGTCTGATATTCTCTCTTCGTTGCCTCTCCTTTGTGGGGTGGACAATGACAATGCACTGTGCTGTATCTTTCCATTTTCCTGTAGATACAGTGGAAGCAGTTTTTGATTTCATTCAGAGAAGCCGAAGGATGATTGTTGTTCTGAGCCCAGATTACGTGACAGAAAAGAGCATCAGCATGCTGGAGTTTAAGCTGGGTGTGATGTGCCAGAACTCCATCGCCACCAAGCTCATTGTGGTGGAGTACCGCCCTCTCGAGCATCCACACCCAGGCATCCTACAGCTGAAGGAGTCTGTGTCTTTCGTGAGCTGGAAGGGAGAAAAGTCCAAACATTCTGGCTCCAAATTCTGGAAGGCCTTGCGGTTGGCTCTTCCCCTGAGAAGTCTGAGTGCCAGTTCTGGCTGGAATGAGAGCTGCTCTTCTCAATCTGACATCAGCTGGGATCATGTTCAGAAGAGGAGAAGTCGGTTGAAAGAGCCCCCAGAACTCCAGAGCTCAGAAAGGGGTGCAGGTCCCCCTCCTGCCTCAGGCACAATGTCCAAGCACCGAGGGAAGCCCTCCGCAGCCTGCCGCTGCTGCGTCACCTACTGTGAAGGAGAGGGTCACCTCAGGAGCAAGAGCCGGGCTGAGATTCATACCCAACCCCAGTGGGAGACACACCTCTGTAAGCCTGTTCCCCAAGAGTCAGAAACTCAATGGATACAAAATGGCACCCGATCGGATCCCCCTGCTCCCCAGATCCCAGCTCTTGCACTTCGCCATTTCACAAATTTATCCAATAACAATGACTTTTATATCCTATAGTTACAGATTGTGGTGGGTGGGGGCTGCTATCTCTACCAACTCTCTTAGGTCATGAACTTTTGGGAATAACTGACATTTTTATCATCTAATGGACTATCAAATTTGTGTCCCCTTCATTGATTTTTAAAAACTATTTATTTCTAGGAGACAAAACACCTGAAGAACCTGAATCCAGAGTTATTGCCTCTAACGGCCTCAGAAGAGCACACTCTTCTTGGGCCCTAGAAGGTCAGTATGTGAAAGTTGTCTAAAGTATGATCCTTTGTCTTGCATAATGGTTTAAAAGTAAGCTAAATATTTAAATATGTTTCCTCTGAGCTTGCTGATTGACTTCATGATACACAGTCAGGGGTATGACACTTACAGGGTGTGTATATTCCCAAGGAAGCATCATGCAAAAGAGCTTGTTCTGGTGGAAGCTGTAGGAAAAAGCTGAACAGCAAACCTACAGCACATTTTCATCAAAGAACCAAACACACTCACCCAGGGACACATGGGTTTTCTATCTCACTGTAAACTAGTGTGCCCTAAACTTCCTAACACTGTTAGTATCAATAAAGTTTTATTTTTATGTTATTTCATATGTACCAACAAATTTTTAATTCCCTGTCTCCCTCCTACCTTTTCTGGCTTTCGTATTCAAATCTGAAGAGCATTCTGTTTCAGGAAATTGAGATTTAGTTTAGGTACCATGATGTATATTCAGAGAAGTCTGGGGAAGGACCAATAGACAGCAAGAAGATGTTTTAAAGTAAATGGAGTTTATGTAAAAATACTCATTACCCTTTTTAAACTGTCAGCAGAAAAAAATTAGTATCATAAGGAATTTGGGATAGAGTTTGGTATCTGAATCCTTCTTCCTATTCAGGATTCAGAGAAGGGATATTAAATGCAAGTGCCTACAAGGATCAGAAGGTAAGAAAAAAGAGAAATGGGGTCCAAGTGCAAGCATAATTCACATGCACTTCATCTACTACCAGTGTGGCTAGGATACAGGTACAGGTGGGGATTTCTTTTTTGTAGACATTTTCACATAATAATAAGAGTCTTGTGGCATTGGGTTTTTCACGCCAGAGATATAATAGGGATCACTGGGCTTATAAGAAAGTGATAAGCACATATTTCTGAAGAAATGTGTCTTCATGGAACATGAAGTCTACCCATTTAATTGTTGCTGCTGAGTTAGCCCTTGCATTGCCAGATTTTCCAGTTTTTCCAAGAGAAACTGAGAATTTATATGTTTTGTCTACTTTCAATTATGGGCCAGCTTACATTTATGAAAATAAAATAAAAGAGCCAAACAAATTACATCTGTGGGACATATTCATCCTGAATATGTATGGAAGTCACTAGTTTGTAATTTCAGTCCTGATGTATTCTGCCAAAGAGCATATGTCTAAACAGGGATCCAAGTGCCAGTCACAATACTGACACTGGAGAACATATGTTGCTGACCCTAAAGACATACTAAGGAGTGTTTACTTCCTCCCCACACTGAAGACATCTGGGTCCTCTGAATAAGACTGGCCTAACCTTGCCCTGCAGCACTGAAAATTAGTTTGTCTTCTATCACTTCTGTAGAGGATCCCTGCCTGTTGGATTTGCTTCCTACAAGAAAACTGCTATTCCTGAGCAGAAGCAAATAAAAAAGAGCAAGAGACTGTACAAGGCAGGAGCGGTCACCTTCAATACATTGGTCCTGATGCTAGTGAGCTTGGCCCAATGGATCAGACTCTCTCACTCAGTAGTGGAGAATGAGAGGTGGGGAGAGAAAACACCATTCTTCTTGGAATGTGAATCAGAATATCGTTCCTCTGTTGAAATAAGAAACTAGATGTCCTCTTCTCTGAAGCAGAGAGGATAAAAGCCCTCCAGAGTAAACTTGATTTACCATGAAACTGTAGTTAGGAAATGACAAGTCACCCCAGCTGAATATACTGCAGAAAATGACAGAACAACCCAAAGGTTTTGTTTCATATTACATCCTTCTTGAAGAGAGTAATCCATTTCTGGGTATAAATTCATGGATCTTAACCTGGCAGACAGATAACTGTTTCTTTCCAAATCTGTTACAAATGGGTTACATAATGGCTTTAAATCCTATGAAGGGAAAGGAGGTTCCTGTCCACAATTAGGTTTATTTCTTATTAACATGGTCTCCCAAACTGCATAAAATCTTTGGAAACATTGAGAAATTACTTTTGTCATTTGTGAATTATTTTCTTAGTGGATAAAAATAGATGGAATAACTAGTGGCAGAGGCATGGAAATTAAGCACAAGCTGTTATTAGGAACAGCTATATAATTTTGGTGCTCTCAAAGCAAAATTTTGGTATCAGTAACTATGTAACTATGTAACTATGGTGCAAGCACAATAAAGTCATAGTTTTGGCCATTAGCTATATAGGAAACAGAAACATAGTGGACTATACTTTTGCAGCATGGATAAAGGCCTGGAAGTTGTGTTATCATGTCACAATTAAATATGATATTCAGTGATATATATTTCAATGAGGCAAATAGTAAGAGAGAAAATTTCCTCCTGAGCCATGGGTATTCATAATTAAATTGTTGTATTGTTGGTTCCGTGGATATATGATTATGAAAGAAATATTGCCTACTTAGGAGCATGGCCTTGAGGTTGAGTCCTCTTCTCTCCAATCTCTTTGACCATAGTCTCTCTGAACCTCAGTCTCCTGTGGAGATAATATTATTAAGCTCACTGGGTATTGGAAGCATTAAATGATATAGCGTGATACACATCACTGCATTTTTACTTTTATAAAATGCCCTACAACAGTACAGAGAAGGAATCTGTTACCAGGTTAAGTGTCTTGCTTAAAGGCATGTTTAATGAGATGTTTGTGTCTCTAATCCAGATTTATCTAGCGCCAATTCCATTACCAACCCTGGAGGATGCAAGTAGAAGTACGTCTACTACAAGTTACCTAAGTGGGACTATTTCATGAGAATCGTAATATTTTGAAATAAAAAGTTAATGTTAACTATTAAAATGTTAATGGTAGTTAATGTAACACTACCAATAGCTAATTAAATATTATAATTAAGTTATAATTTTATATAACTTAATTTTTCATGTTGTAACTTTGAAACATAGAATCATTTTGGTGTCTTCTTGACTCTATGATCATGCTATGTTTCTTCAAAAAATTCTTTCTATTCTTTTTAATGAAATATAAGTATACACTCACATTTAATTCATAGAACAATTTTTAGCCGCTATGATACACACTGTAAGTTCTCGAATGACCTCCTCCTATAACTATTAAAAACTGCAGTAGTAATATACTCACTTCCCGATTAGAGATTTGAAATGGTTGAGAAAACAAATGTGTCAGTTCAGAAAAAAGGCATGAATAATAAATTGAACTAATCCTTAAAATCTGCACAGAAAGACAGACCACGCCTGTGGTAATGGTGGCAGACTTCTGTGCATTTGAGAATCACTTGAGGAGCATCTCCCAATGAAGATGTTGGAACAGGACCCTTCATCATAGGGAATGTTTCATAAGGTGAAGAGCATTGTCTAAGAACTACATTATGAAATTGTGCCCTGATAATATGAGTAAGATATCAAATTTGAAAAACGTTCAATCCCTTTCCATATTGCTCAGATGGTAAAGGGAGAAAACCTCAATGAGAGTCTTGTCCAAGCCTTGACAAACTGTATTCCTTGAGTCATCTATATCAGAACCATTTTGTATTCCTATTAAAATGCATATTTCTTGACCCTATCCAAGATGAACTAAATGAGAATTGCTAAGATGGGGCAAATCTGCATGCAACATAAAATTCTCAGGTGATTCTTATGCACAAAATGTTTAAGAATCATTAATTTTTATCTCTCTTTCACTCCTCTTTTACCCTTGTAGGCTCTGATTTGCTTCAGCAAAGAAGGACTACGAATCATCCTTTTAACAAGGTGTTAGCAGGCAATAGATGCAAATGTAGGCCCTGTTTAGCCCTTGGAGTTGCCCCAACCAGAAGAAAGTGTTTAATAGCGTGTTTAGGTATAGTCTTAATATATGAACTATCAAACACACATTTAGAATTTGGTAGGGCTGGTGCTCAACTAATTAATAACCCCAATATTTCTGTAGCTTCAAATAACAAGTGTTATTTCTTGTTTATACCAAGTGTCCAGTGTAGAAGCTTGATTTTTTTTTGTAGTTTTTCATCTGAATTGTGAGGCTTGCTGTTGTTCTATGCTTGAGCTTAAATTGACACTCCTTATTTTCACTTACAATTTATTGACCAGATCTAGATTCAAGATCCTGATATAATCAGAAAGAATGCTAGAATATGTAGTCTCCCTGTGTCCCTAGGAAAAGAAAAATTAAATTAAACTTGGCGAACACATAGCATTGTCTTCTACAAATGAGATAAGAATGAGATATTAAGGTAGCCTAACAAGGCAAGAGACCTTAAAACTAAGATATGTCACATATTTTGATGATGAAGTAATGAAAGGACTTTGCTGCCAATACTTCAATTCAATTTACTAAGATATCCAGATAAAAGGGCACACAGAGAAGAATAGACCTTGTACATAAATATTCCCCAAATAAAAGTTGTTGAAAAATGCATAACAATAATTACAGTTTCCGGTTAAGAGGAAGCATGCTTAAATTTTTGCAAGTTACCATATCTGGTTACTTTCCCTTTAGTGTCTTTAGTTAGTTCTCTAAGAATGTGATGCTCAAACAATCTGTAAATGAGTCATTTCATTTTGAATATTCAGGGAGCCTCAGAAGAACTGAAGACATTTAAAACACAGCAGAGCATGTAACATGGTCATTAGAAAGCATCACTTGATCCATGTATTTGAAGAACTAAATAGGGAATTCAAATTGGACATACTAACACCCAGATGAAGGAAGAGACAAATGAATGCAGTATGGGTATTATGAAGTCTGCTACCATTCTTGCATCTGCTTTCTCTATGATTTGGAGTCTATTTGTATTAAAGATTTGAATTT